CAATGCTCAGCTGGTAACCAGTGACAAGATTTAGTGATCATAGGCTGAACAAGAGTACTTTATATTCATACTGTTACAACAATCTGGGCAGGTGACTCGTATCAACTTATAATAGTGTAAATTGCATATTCGGTCTAGATATAACAGACGAAAACTAAGTAATGCTTTTCTTCTAATATGTTGTTAGGCAGATATAAAGTAGAAATACGAACTAGAAATATCAACTAGATATTTTAATCTCTTAATTCCTAATGAAGTAAAGATGAAATATATGTATTAGATAAAACTCATTTTTTATACATAGATATTTGGATAACATCTTAAGTAAGTAAGTGCTCAGAAGATTGTGGAACTCTGTGGTGTAAACGAAAGAAGCACTGTTTGTTTTACTGGAGCGGATGAATATCAGAAATGCCTAATTTGTAATGCATTTTCATAATAGAATGAAAGACGAGACTTTTTATTTTTTAAGCTTTTCTCTGAAGATGTAGAAGTTTGATAAACTGAATCATCACCACGCATAAATCAGAATGAAATCGATAGTTTCTTGTTTTACACAACGAATATACATGCAGTCAAAATGCGAGTTTTCTTCTGTTTTTGATTTGTAAAAACTTTATTATTTCATAAATTCACGTACGTTTGTCAGTCAGTAGTGTTCGGTATGTAGAAATAAAATTACTTATGCTATTTCCAGTTTCCATGTAGAAATATATCTATTTAAGGTAAACAAAAAATGCAAATTCGTACTTCATATACCTAAAAATCAAACAAATTTGTAAAAAATTACACTTTTTTTGTCAGGTTGTATGAATTTTGATATGTAAAATATGTTTTTGCAAGATTTTTTAAACTGAATCCTTAGAATCATGGAAGGAATGCAACTGTCATATTTTGTTTTTTTCATTTTGGGCCTTTAATGAAAAGTAAACATTTTATATTGTAGATAATTAGATATTTATCAGAACAAAATGAGGCTACTGATATTTACCCACAAATTTCCCTATCTGTTATAATTTGTTATTTCTGTACAAGGCTAGGGGGATTGCCTCAAATACTTCATGTTAACGCTTAGGCAAAATATGTGTATTCAAAAACACCTTAGGTGTGAAAAAAAAAGGTGTGTCCAGAAAAGGATTGAGGGTACGACTTAAAGGAATGAAATCAAAATTGGCGGCCAAACTGGTAACTTGCATTTATAGCATTGATAAACATTTTACAGCAAATATTCATTCATTAGCTAGCCAGGAAGCGTTTTTTGTTTAACTTCGAACATGATGGTGGGTAATATCATGTGGCGCTAAACTCTCGTTAATTAAGAGAATTTCATAAAGTGTAGCACATTTGTGCTTAAAAGTAAGCAATGAATAATGAATAATAACCGTCCACCCGTATGATTCTTTTGAAAATTTAAGCTAGAAACTGATAATCTAATTTGCTTCGCTTCACCAATTCTTATGTATCTGGACGTGCTATCACCCTATAGTTTTGCTGCTCTAAATCAGCTGTCTTTAATCCGAATGACAAAAACTAAAAACAGTCATCTTCAATCTAAGGTGAAGTTGTAGTAAAAATTTCATACCGATAGCTCACGTGACTTTTTGTGCAGGCGTGCGCAAAAATTTTGGTCAAAATTGAGCTGTTTTTGTTTAATAACTTTGCACATGTTGTTTATATTTAGACCAAATTTGACAGCTAATTGTAGGTTGTAAATATCTATCAGGTTCTAAATTTGAATACAAATCCACGAAAGTTAAATATATGTTTTTATACCAAATAAAGTTTCCGTAATTTAGGTGCAAAGAAGAAAAAAAAGGAAGAAATTCAATCGAAATTGGAGATTTTATATCTCGTGTATTTATTAATGGATTGCCTTGAAATTTGGAATTTTAAGTAAGGGTCCAGTAGAGTACGCCCATTGAAAATATTTCTCAGGTTGGCTTGTCGTAGTTCGAGCTACAGAAAGTGGAAAATTGCTAAACTATCACTCCTGTTAATGACACACAGTGTGTCCTGCAGGTTGTTTTGGCCGCACGACACACCACCGTGTGTCTTGATAGTCAGATTTACATGATGCATTTTCCTGTTATTATGCTTCGTACTGCTGTCTTTTATGTCCTACCTCGTCTGAACTCTGATGGTAAAACGGGAATGGGGCATATTAAACAAATGATCTGACGTGCATCAATACCATTGTGTTTTTAAGATATTACTGTTTCAAAGTCACCGTGCAACACCATCTATGGTCTTCAGTTTTATCATAACTATGTGTCTTTATGCATCTTTAACAACTGACAAAGTTGTAGGTTGTATGATTCTTCCACCGCTTATACGTTTATATCCAAACTTATTTAGCGTAAGCCCTGTATTCGACAACCAATTAAAATAAAAGTACACTTTTACGTATACTGACGGTCTTCTGAACCTTATACAAAGGGAATTTGGTTTAAAGAGCGCGAATAATACATTAACGAAGAAAGCAAAGAGGAACAAATTCAGGTGTTTCTCGTCACCGTTTAGTATTTGGAATCTACACAGTGGTAATCATGGGCTTTGATAGAAGGCATATTGGACAAGTTGCCTTACTTATACACGCACTTCAATCGAAAGTTTTACATTTATATGTCAAACAACCATAAATACTTTAAATAGTCACAAATGCAGAGACGGTCTACTTTTCTAGCTATGATGACATTTACCTTGAAAAACAATACGTTGCTACTCAGCTAGTTCAGACTTTGTATATATGGTAAGTGGGCTAATCTTCCTTTCCTTTACTTATTAAAGAGTCAGTCTCTTGTACTAGACTTTCTTTCTTTTGCTTATTAAAGAATCAGTCACTTGTGTCAGATTTCCTTTCTTTTGCTTATTAAAGAGTCAGTCGCTTGTGCTCGACTTTCTTTCTTTTGCTTATTAAAGAGTCAGTCTCTTGTGCTAGACTTTCTTTCTTTTGCTTATTAAAGAATCAGTCACTTGTGTCAGATTTCCTTTCTTTTGCTTATTAAAGAGTCAGTCACTTGTGTCAGATTTCCTTTCTTTTGTTTATTAAAGAATCAGTCACTTGTGTAAGATTTCCTTTCTTTTGTTTATTAAAGAGTCAGTCACTTGTGTCAGACTTCCTTTCTTTTGCTCACCGAAGAATCAATCGCTTGTGCTAGACTTCCTTTCTTTTGCTTACTAAAGAATCAGTCGCTTGTGCTAGACTTTTTTTTCTTTTGCTTACTAAAGAATTAGTCGCTTGTGCTAGACTTCCTTTCTTTTGCATACGAAAGAATCAGTCGCTTGGGCTAGACTTCCTTTCTTTTGCTTATTAAAGAATCCGCCATTGTATATCTTTTGACTACTTGTGATTTCTTCGGAGAAACAAAATTCTCAGTTTTTGCTTAAAATTGCGACAGAGTTTTTGACTTATTAATGTGTATACATTTATATTTGTTAATGATTACGTGTATATTTACTCTCGTTAGGTTACCCTATATACATTTTTTTTATCAAAGATAAATTTACATCAATATTTAATTTTTCATGTAACGTTATTTCTTGTTAGTTCTATGGTCTCAAAAATGAATTAAAGATTTTAGTGTAAAAATAAGATACGATTCATGTTTCGGCGTGAATCATGCTATTATGCAATAAAGTAAAACAAAACAAAAACACCAATTGTGAACTACGTTTTTCATCAATTAATTATTTGTGGAATAGGCACTAGTTTGTTGATAAACAGAAATTGGCTAAAACTGTTTCGTATTCCCATGAAAAAGCAAACTCTATGGTATTTGACGGATGATTTAAGCTATTTTTTCATGATGAGAAGAGGTTGAATATGGACTTTAACCGCCTTGGAAGCACTGGATTCTCTGGACGAGAGAGTCGGCACTTCCAATGCTATTGGGGTCAATAATCAACCTTCTCTCAACAATATGTATAGTTCCCTTGAAGTAGAAGGCGTTGCTAAAGCGTTTTTGCTTGTTTAGGTGAAATATCAATATTATTAGCAATTACTGAACAATATTTATATACATTTACTGTTATGATATATTGTTTGATATTTGACATGTAATGCAGTATCGCCTTGGTCTGAAATGAAATAATATCGCCATCTTGTTAAGCGTCTTCTTTCTTCGAGAGAAAATAAAACAGCGGTTGTTTTATGATTGATAATTATTATGCTTTATTTTCATGCCTTATGACATCACTGAAATTATATTTACACTATTAAAGAAACCTATAGTTGTCTAATGGATAAAAAGTTTAGTTCAGCAAAATAAATATTATATGCTACTTAATCTATTTAGCGATTTTGTTTTAGCCTATTTGTCATTCTGTTTTTCAAATGTGGTAAATTTATGACAGACGGTAGCTGGCGATGTTATGTGATGTTCTCATTGGAACTAAGTTGACCATTTTGTTATCATAGAATCCGAAAATTAAAACTGCTGAACATTGCTCAAAACTTACAGTGGCACAGCGGTATGTCTGCGGACTTACAACGCTAGAAACCGGGTTTCGATACCCGTGGTGAGCAAAGCATAGATAGCCCATTGTATAGCTTTGTGCATAATTCCCAACAAACAAACAAAACTTACTATCTTCGGTTTAACATTATAAGCCTTTCAAAATACGTCCCCTTGTGGCTGAACGTTAAATTTTAGGGTTTTGGGCGCTATAATTCGTGGCGCAATCTTTACGATGAACATAACGCCGATTGCTCATTGTGTAGCTCTACGCTAAAACAAGTAACAACAACAACTTTTAAAATAAAATAAAATAGTTGTAAAACACTAGAAGCAAGTTTGGTTATAATAACATTAATAGAAAAGCTTCAACGACATTAGTTAGTCGTCAAACAAAAAAGCAAATTTCGTGAAATTCACCAAAATAAGAGGAGCTTTAATACTTTCGTATAATCAAATGTTAACCATTCATAATACATAATTTTTATGATGAACGCCAGAATCCCCATTCAAATTTGAAATTTAAAACGAATGTCTTTTACATACCAATAACTTTCAACGTGATGACCGTGTTAACAGTTCGGGCCTTGTGGAAGTCTACCCTACATCTGTACTCCCCTGCGTCTTCTTCCTTTACTGGATCCAGCTGGAGAAACGCTGGCCTGTTGATCATGTTAAAATAAGCACGGTTTTCCAGCTGATGACCAGAGGACTGGTGGGCTTGGTCGACGTTACCTCTTCTAGCGTCCAGTGTATAAATAGGCTGAGCTGAGTCATCCTTGTACCACAAGATGAGAGCCGCGGAGTCATCGGTGGAGGGGGAGGAAATGTCACATGGAAGAGCCACTTTGCCTCGTACAACTGCTGTGTACAATATGGAAGCTGGAAAGATAGATATTGAGAGATATTGTTAGATACGTAATATATATATATGCAACCTGTCTCGAAGTCCAACAGTAAACAAATATTTCAGCAAAAATAACCATTAATTTTAATATTCGTGTGCAAGATATTTCGCCAAATCCCCATAGCTTAAGATCCGTTAAGGTTATTTCAGAACTTATTTTAACATTTCTGGGGGAAATGGGATTCAGAAGTGTTCTATGAGAACTGTTGGTACCATAAAATTTCTTTAGAATATACGTCACTCTTATTCGCTTGATATGTAAGCATAGGCTACACTATTATAATATGTTTGATAATTGAGCTAAGATAGTTTAGTGGGATGTCTAAAGGCTTCTTATTTGTTTGATAAGTTAATTAATAATGCCTAGTAAGACTTCAAGGGAATGTTATCTGTTTGATAGGTAAGTTAACTATACACATGACTAGACGTATTTCTGAAACATTATTAGTTTTATAAATCAGTTAACACTGATTGAAAGTGCGTTGTCTGTTTTATAAGTCAGTTAACCGTTGCTTGAAAGATATCTAGTGATTATTCTTGTTTTATAAAAGGGAAAAACAGCGACTAGTTGTACGCTTAACGGATTGCTGTCTGATTTACTATCCAGCTAATAGTGACTAATGGATTGTTATCTGTTTTACAAGTCAGAAAACAGTGACTAGTTTTAAGCTTGGCGGATTGTTATCTGTTTTATTACCGAAGCGAATTAACAAATTATAATAATACTCTTGAATATAGAGACAAATGTATCTTGGATAACATCAACGAATCACAGAGACAATACATTCTGAGGATGAAAGGATTAATCATTTAGTTGTTTTCCCATTTGTACAAACTCGGTTATTTCAAACCGAAACGGAAACTAAAAGATTTTTCATCATACTGAGCACAGAACTCTTTCTTACACATTCAATATATCCAACAATTGATTTTTTTGCAAAGTTACTCAAGTTGTTTTTTATCTCTTTCTTCTTCAACCGCCTGAACACTTTTGATTCGTTAGTCCTTATAACTAGATTACCGCGCTGGGAAGTGTCGAAAAAATTAACAATTTAGACATTAACATATTAAACGAGAATAATTTCACCGTCAGAGAATGTTACGCCCTTCAAATTTATCGACAACAAAATACTGCCATCAAGCTTCTATGCAGTCATGGAAGATGCAATTATAGTTTGGTAAATAAGAGCGTTATCTCTTGTGGGGCAGCCGGGAATTAGCGAATCCACACTACTTTCACAAAAACATGGTTGAAAATATCAAAAGCTTTCCGAGAGTGTTATACAAGGTAAATGATACTGTGGACGAATGAGCTATTTGATTAAAAATATAATCGTTATATAGCACCAAATCATTAATTTGTGCACGTGGTCTTCACGTGCTTTCAATGGACTTACCGTAATATTTTGCTGAGAATTTATTGATGCACATATCTCCAGATTATATACAAATAAATGCATTTAACCTCAAACATTCTTGCTCATATTACTAGAGGTATGTAGTTCCAATGACTTTTTTCTGCATCCACCAAGGACATATAATGCCATGTTCATTACAAGGAAGGGTTTATTTTATTTTTGTATACACTCACTTTAAATTATTTCCGCGACAGCACTAGTAGGGCTCTTTGATACCAATTGAACAAATCACATCTAAAAGCATCTCGGAATACCAAAAAAAAATGTTTTTATCTTCAAGAACGAAAGAAAAATAAGTCCTTTTACGACTACCTGCTGGTATAGAGTTGTATTTAAACACATAGGAGTTCATGCAAATACACTGGTTTCATTTCAACTCTGCTGTAAATAGTTAAATATTGCAAACACGTAGAAGTTCTTCTAAATACAATAGTGTTATCTCAACTCTGCTGTAAATAGTTAAACATTGCAAACACATAGGAGTTTATCCAAATGTATTGGTGTCATCTCAAATCTACTGTAATTATTTAAACGTTGTAAGCACATAGGAGTTTATCCAAATACACTGGTTTCATTTCAACTCTGCTGTAAATAGTTAAATATTGCAAACACGTAGAAGTTCTTCTAAATACAATAGTGTTATCTCAACTCTGCTGTAAATAGTTAAACATTGCAAACACATAGGAGTTTATCCAAATGTATTGGTGTCATCTCAAATCTACTGTAATTATTTAAACGTTGTAATCACAAAGGAGTTTATCCAAATACTTTAGTTTCATCTTAACTCCACTGTAAATAGTTAAACATTATAAACGCATAGGAGTTCATCCAAATGTATTGGTGTCATCTCAAATCTACTGTAAATACTTAAACATTGTAAGCACATAGGAGTTCATCCAAATACTTTAGTTTCATCTTAACTCCACTGTAAATAGTTAAACATTATAAACGCATAGGAGTTCATCCAAACACATTGGTGTCATTTAAACTCTACCGTAAATAGAACATTGTTAATCATTTCGTTAACGACTTTAACACATCTTACTTTTAAACACAATGATGTTAAAATGACATTTAACTTTTGTAAGATCACAGTTTATCCTGTTCACAGAAGATAAGCAAGTTCAATTATTTTATACACGAGCTTTAACTTAAGCCACTTGTCGCAGAATAAAATTCCTTGCTTTTTTAACTTGTCGCTACTGCTGGTGAAGTATAAATTATTTGATTTAACATCAGTAAGTTCATTTACCAAAAGAATATCCAGAAACTGGAAGTAATTGTAGCACATACGAAAGTAAACAACTTAACAAACAATATAAGATCCTCTAACCTCTCATCAAGATTTTATAGCAACTGAAATTACATACTTTTTATGTCGTTAGTAGTTTATCAAAGTTTGGAAAATATTCAGAGCAATCATAAAAGTGTGTTGTTAAACACTTTTATTTGTTAAAGAAAATACTAATTTCCCACTGGATGTAATATGTCAATAGGAATTCCGTAATTGATGGATTTTCAGGGCCTATTGATTAGTCCAGAAATACACTAGCATAATTTTCAAAATTACATATTCATAATTAATTATTGGTAATTCATGATTAAAGCAATCTACATAAATAGATCAGAATTAGCGATCAAATCAATAATGAATATAGATAATGGAATATACTGTTCTTATGTTGTTACTTATAATTATGAAAATATATTATTTTATCAGTTTGTACTCTCACTGTTGGCGATATTAATAATATATAAATAATACCTCACGGAGTTCAGCAAACTTAGGATATTTAGGTTATTTTTAAATCCATATACTAAGTTAACGGTTCAAGATAATTACTATAATAAAAATATATGATAATAAAAAATTAACACTGATAGAAATAGATATATTAAACATTTTGAACCATATTGTTAATAAAAAAATATCACACTATATCAACTTACTCGCTTTAGTGTATGATTTATATTTCTTAAATCATCAAAAAGGACGCAGGGGAACAACAATAGCATTAATTAAAGATTGAAATAAACGGTTTCTGTGAAATATTACACAGGTTATATAAAGATAGAATTTGTATTATTGTTGGTTTTTCTTTTTGTAAAGTTTTGATTGTTCAAGCAACGTGGAATCCTCTGTTACTAAAACACAGTTTATATACCAAACAACTGAAAGAAGTAAATTTAAAGATAGCTTTATTACTTTAGTATCTGTGTATCTGTGGACCAATAAAGAAGCAATGATATCAGCATTTGCTAACAGCAAATGAACTGAGACAACTGTTCCATGTTGTATTCTGTAAGAGCAGCTAACAAAAACAATATCTTTAATTCAACAGTTTACTTAATAGAAGCTTAGCTGGGTGATTCAAAGAAATACTTAACTGTGGAGAATGAATAACCAGAACATTAAGAGCTACATTTAACAAATAACCTTTCCTCGGTTTTTTTACAAAAAATATTATAATACTGTCATTAAAGTTCGTTAAAAATTGTTAAACTCTAGAATTACCAAAGAGGTCTAGACCATTTCGGACTTTTAAATATATTTTTCTAAGCTATTTATGCACAAAACTACTTGTGGGTTCATGACTTTGTTGGTTACAGAATTCTTAATAACATAAGACACACTCACACAATTAAGCACAAATATCGTCAACTTTTTGGACTTAACTTCACTAATCACTGCTGGGCTCTGAAATGTATTTACATGGAAAATACGTGAGATCACCCAATTGTGTGATCAGTTTTTTTTATTGAGTGCTGTAACACCAAAATCATGAAATTACTCAATATGTGGACCTTATCGGCGGTGGCCGGTATATAAACTTGAGGCTTAAATTGTTAGCGTATTGTGGTAGAACCCCCCCCCCCCCTAAAAAAACCCTTGATTAATGCATAATGCTAATGTTAACTGTTACTAATTACAAGTAATTTAACCATATCTAACCTTATCTTTGGTGCCTCTATCTTTCAATCGTTAGCTAATTCAAAATATCTGACATCCGTTGTATTTTCAAATGACTATCGAGCAATACAGCGACTGTATTTTCAAATATGTTGGTGACAGTTTTCACACAGTAAAAGTAAGATTTTTTACAAGCTGTAAGTGAAATAGTTATTAACAGATTTGTACAAGTGATAATTGCGTAGTCTTTTCTGTAGGTATAGAAATACGTTTTAGAGAACTGTGTAAAGGTAAGAAATGTAAAGAAAACTTAACAGGACGTGAAAGAACTGTAATTATATATATCGAATGCATTTAGAAGTGTACTGATAAGATTTAGAACATTTTTATAATACACTTCTAGTAAAATCCAATTGGAACATAAGAACATTTATAAAATACACTCTCACTAACAATCAGCTGTAAAATTCGAACGTTTGTAGAATATACTCTCAATAAGAACGAGCTGTAACGTTAGAACATTTCCACAATATCCTTCCAGTAATAACCAGCTGTAGCATTAAAGCATTTGTACAATAAACTCTCAGTAACAACCAATTGTATTAATTCTATTTCTTAAATTCTATTTTTCTCTTAATGAGTAAAT